GCCGCTGCTCTGTGGACGGTGAACCCGGCGAAGGCAAGAGAGTATCTCCAAAGCAACCCCAAGGATAATATGAGGTTGTGGCGCACAATGCAATCTTCCATGTTGTCCACGAGGGACACGGCGGTGCTACGCGCTTACGAGAGCGGCAGGCCGCTGGATGCGCGGATAAGTCGGCGCCAGACTATTTATTTGGCGGAGACACTGTTGTCGCGTCTATTTCCAGAAGACACCGAGCGCTGAGTAGCGTCGTGTTTTTGCATTATTGACATTGAACGCTTGTCTCGCAATTGATCTTAATTTGCTCACTACTGTTGGTTCCTTATTCATGCAAGAAAGGAGAGAGAGAGAGAGAAAGAGAGAATGGCGGAAGTGTGTCCATGAAGAGGAGATCAGGCAAACAGAAAAAAAACTGATTCTAATGTAAGCTTATATATATATATATATATATATATATATATATATATATATATATTTCTTCTGATACTTTCATTTTATTATTATTATTATTATTATTATTATTTTTTGTGTATGTGAATTTGTGTGCTTTTTAGGAATTTGCGTTGAGTCAATATCCACTAACTTTTCTACAGGAAACAAACATTATGAAGGCTTTGAAACTTTTTACAAACCGAATATGCCCCTTTTGCCAACGCGTGTTGATCACGGCGAAGGAAAAGCGTGTCACATTGGAGGAGGTGGAGGTTCCTCTTGGCGATGACATGCCGCAGTGGTACAAGGAGCTGAACCCACGGGAAACGGTTCCAATGCTTCAGGTAGATGGAAAAAAATGCATGATTGAGTCAGATCTCATTTCACGGTACATTGACCGCATTTCTTCTCCCGAGAACGCCCTTATTGGGTCAAGCCCCTACCAACGGCACCGCGTGGAGTTTTTTCTGAGTGAGATCGGCGACCTTGTCAAAGCATATTTTGGCCTTGTTAGGGACCCTTTCAATGAGGAGAAGCGGAAGTCCGTGGATCATAACACCGCATATATCGAAGGTATCATTGCAGAACATCAGGGGGATGGACCATATTTTCTTGATGACACGTTTTCCATGGCTGAAGTTATGGTCGTTCCATTTCTTGCTTGTTTCCGTCCAGTTTTAAGTTACTATTGTGGTTATGACATCTTCCATGAGGCTCCTCGTCTCAAGAAAATGTACGTGACGTCCATGCAGCGTACAACTGTGAAGGAAACGATTTCAAAGCCAGAAGAATACATTATTGGCTTTAAGAGTAAGGTGCCAAAATCGCACGTCACATGGTCATTGGCTCCTGGCTATGTACTTTTTGTTAACAAATATTCTCCATTTTCGGATCGCCCTCGTTTGGCATGTGCACTGAAGAATATTGATTTGCCCATGCTTGAAATTGATTTGAAACAATTGCCCTCGTGGTTCCGATGGTTTAACCAGCGTGAAACTGTGCCAACGTTGCTTACCCCACGGGGTACCTACGTTCATGAGTCTCAACTTATTGTTCATTATCTTGATGATGGGTTCCCAGAGCATGGGCCTGCGCTACTTCCCAAGGATGCCGATGGATCGTACCATGTGAGGTTTGTTGAATCTAATGTGGATTACTTTATGGATGCCATGTATTCTCTCATAAAGGATCCAAAAAACACGAATGCAAAGGAAGAATTTGATTGGGCAGCAGGTGAGCTTGAGAAATTATTGGCGGAACATCAGTTTGGGGAGGGTCCATTTTTTGGTGGAGCCACAATGAATGCTGCTGACGTTTCTCTTTTGCCCATGCTGGTGCACCTGAAGGCCTGCACTCCAGATCTGACGGAAGGCCAGGATTTGCTCGCAAATTACAAGCTGTTGGCCGCCGCCGCGGAAGCGGGCTTGACGAGTGAAGCAGGCAAAAAGGTCTTTCTTTCACTCTCGGAATACTCGAGTATATACAAGACGTTTTTGCGTCCATCGTCTTGAGAAAAACGCGGAAGCCGGTGCCTGTGCGTGCCATCAATATTGAGTCCACCAAGGAGTGGCTTACTGTTTCCTTTCTTTTTATGCCCCAAGACCCTTCAGCGGAGGGATCGTGGTGGAGAGAAATTAAGAGACTGCCAACGACTGTGGGGGGAAAGCAAAATAAGCCCAAAGCGAAATTTGAATAAAGACAAAAGAAAAAAAAAAAAAAGGGAAAATGAAACGAAAAAACAAACGAACAAGAAAACATTAACGCAGGAATTGAAGTAAAAAGATGCGGAAGTCAGGTGTCGTGTTGATTAAATTGAGAGGCGTTGGTTTAATTTTTTATTTTTTTATTTTTATTTGTTTATTCTTGTTTGTTGTTTTCCTCTTGTTTTCTCGAATAAATTTGATGGTTTGCATTGCGGTATCGCGTGTCTCCAGACCTCGTGTCGTGCCCCAGCACGACGCAGCTGGTCCGGACTCCGGTTGATGCCTTCAGCCCTGCGCCAACAAAAACAACAATGACTCCGTGGGGGAAACATTGCTGGCTCTTGGTTTCCCCCGGCGATACGGGGCAATTGACCCTGGCGTACCACGCTGAGGCGGCCGGCATTGCCAGGGGAACTTATTTGAGAAAGTAAAGCATGACAGAAAAGGCAACGAGAACGGGATTGATATGAAAGAAGGGTTTTTGTTGGGGTGCGAGCAAAAAGGGGGACGTCAATAGCCGTACTAAGAATATTGGCTCATGAAAAGTAAAGCGGGCGGTGGGATGTGGTGACTTGTCAGTTTTTTTTTTTTATCCTTTATATATTTATATCCTTTTAATTTTGCGCCCTATTGCTTTTGCATTGCTCTTGCTGGGGTGATGATGGCGTTTTCCTTTTATTTGGGCTGTTTTTTTTTACTGTGGGATGGATAGATGGATATATTGTGCGGCGGGGTTCCCGTCGCAAGGACAATTCTCGAGGCATTTGCCGCCGCATTGCTTTGCCAGCCTGCGAGGGATGGTTGGCACCGCAATGCCATGAGTGCTTTGAATGGCGGAGGAGCTGTTATTGCAGGCATTGTATTGCAGTTGCCTTCTTCACCCATCGAAGAAGAAGACACACCATTTTTTATCTGTGTATCGCTGGGCAGCGGTACAAGATGCGTTGGCTACGAGCCTCCGTTGTGTTCCTCAGAGGCGGATATTTTCCTTCGGGATGGACACGCAGAGGTGATGGCCCGACGTGGTTTTGTCGCATTTTTGCTGGACGCGGCATTGTACCTTGCGCAGTCGGAAACCGGACATCACCCGTTTGTGGAACGTTGTCACTTTCTCTGTAAGGGTCCGGAAGGAAAGAAAGATGTTGGTACTATGTGGCAGTGCTTTCGCTTACGTGACGGCGTGACAATTCACCTTGTTAGCACCGAATATCCCTGTGGAGCTATGTCTATTCCGCGTGGTGGAGGCCATGTGCTGCTGTCGACTCCTAGCGGTGAATCGCTTTCTTCAGCCACTGGCATCGATTTGACTTCAAAGAAGGATGAGCCGTTCTTTGCGTCCTGCGATGCGGCTGCAACGGATGCTCGTCCGGTTATATTGTCTTATGGGCATGCTATAGCTGCCCATCGCAGTCATCCCGCCGAAGAAATGCTGCATGTGGGACGTGTGAAGCCTGGTAAGGGCCGCCAAAACCTTTGCATGTCGTGTTCTGATAAGTTGCTTCGATGGCATTGTTTGGGTGTTCAGGGCAGAAGACGGGCGCGACTTTTTCCAAGACCTATGAGTCTCACAAGTGTGTGGCTTCCACAGACACCGGATGGTTCTGCTGATAGTACCGATTACGGTGCATCCAGGTATTGTTCTCTGGAAGACGCAATTAGGGCTTTGAATGGTCGTATTTGTTATTTTTGTCCCATGATGTCTTTGGAAGGGGGAGATGATAGTTCAAAAGGGAATTCCCAGATGCCTCACAGCATGCCGGCTCCCTTTCCCGTTAGTTTTTATGGATTCAAGCCGTTATTTTTTCGGTCCCTTCTCACCAAATGTGCCTGTACTGCCGATACACGAGAGAAAGATGATTGTGATGTGGACAAGAATGGGAAAAGTGACTCCGCTTTGTCCCGGAGTGCGTGGCTCAAGATGGCATCTGGAGTGAAAAATGACTCCATTTCCATGTTGCGATCAAAGAGGCAACGAGAAGTTGACACGTCCGAAATGAATAACGATGCTCTCAGTTGGAGGAAGGGTGGTGTTGCTGTACTAAACACCAAGGCCGGTCTGCCCCGCGGCATCACGAAGCAGGATGCGGAGCGCACTGCCCATGAGTTATTAAGACTACAGCCGGTCCTTTTAGGAGTTGGAGGCCACACAAACACTGCGGATGATGCAGCGCTGGAGGTTATAGCGAAACGTTTTCCACTTTCCCGGCTATGGATGGCGCAGCAACAGCGAAGAGTCATGCAGCGCCTCTCACGGCAGCGAAAAGATACGTCCATGGGGACTCTTTCACTGTTGGGTAAAGACGGTAGCCAGAAGGATGTTGGTGGTATGACCATTAGCTCATTCCCTTTGCCGGTAATTCTTTTTCCTCTCGAGGGGGCGAAGGAGCAGGAGGCTGTTGTGGCAGGGGGCTCTGCGCACTATTGGCTTCAGCGAGCACGCCAGAGCAGAAACGCCATGATGAATCCATTGAGAAATGAAGGGGGCACGTCAGCGCACATACCGCTTCTGTGGGTGGAGAAGGGACTTTCCGTTTAATGCAAGAAGAAATATATGCTCTTTTCTGTTTCTCACCCCTCCTCTCCCTTTATTTTTTGTGCGGGCCTGTGACAGGGGTGAGTTTGCGATGGATACTATGTTTTTTTTTCTTTTTCCGTATCTTTTTTTTTTTTTTGCTCATGTTGCTTTTCTCTTGGAACGTGCCAAAACCACTGCACCAACTCGCCCACTCACACACGCACAAACACGAAAAACCAGCAACAACAGAGAGGTGACGCCATTCTACACTATAAAAAAAAGGACATAGGACGGACGGGATATATAGGGGAAAGCTGAACGATCGGTGAGGATATAAGGTCTTGCTTGGTTTTATGATTCTTTCAGGGATTTCTTCCGGTGTCTCCAGCCCATTTAATCCAAGTATTTGGACTCCAATGATACCCGGTGCGGTGATGCAGAATTCTCAAAAAGCCTTGGATGACTCTTCTCCGACGTGCCTCGGACTGACCGTTAGCGGCGGCTCCGAGACGGCGTTATCGTTTTCCTTGCATGGGGCGACACAACCAAGCAGTCCACTCCTTTCGAACTGCATAGCGACCGGTAGCAGCCTTATCGCCAGTGGTGAAAAGAATCATACCCCAATGCAAGGTGGCGGTGGTGGCGCCAGCGGTGGCGTATGCAACACGCCATCGGAGTCTTCCTTTGTTGGTCTGACAGCGCAAGCGACATCTGGACAAACACGCTTGGAAACGATACACCTATCTCCTCATGACGTTGTGAAGTGTGCTGAGCATCACAAGGAAAGAACGGCACAAAACATGATGCGTGTTGTGAATAGATCGGGTGATGTTGTATGGGTGTGTCGTCCTGATGTGGTATGTAAGGTGCGTAAGGGTGGTCGTGCTTTTTCTCATGGTTCACGTCGTCAACAACCCCCTCCAAATGGGTTACCTGAGAACAGGACATCTAATCCCAGCGCTATTGTCACATTGCAGAACCCGAGAGTTGTATTCACGACGCCACACATGAACAATTGTGCCGCGACTCCAAGCCAAGCGCCGGGATGTTGCATTGGAGGCTGCGAAACTTTTGTTGCAACGCCACTCGCTCTTGCTGGCCCTCCAAGTTTCACTCAACTCTCGTTTCTGCAGCCTGCAGCACATGAGGACGCCATGTTCTGGCTTCCCGTTTCACCGCCGCCACCGCCACCGCCACCGCCAGTGTACTCTGCTGCTTCTGTTGCAGGGAGTGTTGGAGGGCCATCTGCCGCAGCGGTTGTTTCTCACGTCACGATACCTCCCAACTTTGCGTGGGTTCCAACTCCAGTCCCGCGTTGAAGAGGGAAAAAGAGGAACGCAGCAAGAGGAGGAAAAGAAATTCCACGATAAGAAGGGGGATAAACGTGGAACGGAGACTACAAGCATTCACACGTATGAGGAATGGGGAATGGAAAAAGTAAAAGAGGAACACGCAGGGAAATAAGGTTTCAATGCAAGGAATGTAAGAAGAGATTAAGTTTAAGGGGGAAAGGTGACTCTACAGGAGTAAAAAGAACGAGCAAAAAAGAAAAAAAAAACGAGAGAAAATGAAAAAAAGAAATTGGTGTCATGACAACGGAGATAATCTTGTCAAATAAAGCGAAACAAACAACAACAACAAAAGAGGATGAGTTTAACCTGGCAATAAATAAAACACAAGGAATCTAAATGGAGCAGAAGTAAATGCAAAAGGCAAGAAGAACCGTAGCGAAGGCAGGGCCTCTTCTGGCTGGGGGAGGGAAAAAGGACAAAAACGGCTGCGTTTGTGGTCTGTGGAAGCGGGAAAAGGGCGAGAGGAGGGAGGGAGGGAGAATTACAAACCCAAACGTCATGGAAACGGAGTGAGTCGCTCTTCATTTCTCCCTTTTTTTCCCATTCCCTTTTTGCTTCCTTTTCCCTTGTTTTTTTTTTTTTACAATTTTATTTTATTTTTGATGAACCTCCCACTTGTTTTTTTTTTTTTTTTTTGGCGCTTATCCCCCCTTCTCCCCTCGTCTTCCACTTATTTTTGTTTCTTTTTTTTTTCATCATTCCTGTATTCCTCCTTTTCTGTTTTTTTCTTTTTCTTTTTTTTTTTTGGTTTTTGAGCAACCGCAGTATTCACTTTAACCAGACGTTGTTGCTGTTATCGTTCACCCATTTTGTGTTTTTTTGTTGTTTTTGTTTGGATGCGGTGTGTTGTTCCCCACTCTCCCCCCTCTGTAACCCGTCTTGGCGCGAGCGTGGCCCCTCGCGACCATCCGTTTTTTTTTGTTTTTTGTTTTTTGTTGTTGTTGTTTTGTTATAACGGATTTTTATTCACGTTGCTTTTTTTTTTTTTGTATTTGTGTTTTGTGTTGTTGTTTTTTTTTTTCACTGTTTTTTCTTTTTTTGTTGTTGTCAGGGTTTCGTTCTTTTGTTGATGACTCCGGGCGGATGGAGGAGGGGTTTTATTTACGTGGCCGTCTGTTCAACAGCTCGGCGCCTCTGCACGACGGCGGCGGGCGGGGGTGGGAGTTTGTGTCTTCCTCCTTCACCCTCTTCTCTCTTTTTTTTTTTTTTTTTAATTTTGTTTTTGTTTTTGTTCCTCCCTTCTTTTTGATTTTGTGTTGTGTTGTTTTTGTCGTCATAATCATCGCTGTCTTGGCCGAGAAGAAGAAGGAGAAAATAAACAAATAAATAAATTAATAATAATAACTCATGAATGGCACAAAAGGAAACACACGAAAGAATGAAAGAAGAAAAAGAAGAAAAAACAGGTAACTGCGACGATATGGGCAAAGTGAGTGGGGTTGCCCAGGCCTGAGGGAAGGAAGGAAGACTGGGGAAAAGTAATTACAATTGAGGGTTGAATGCGGGGATGAGAGAGGAAAGGCGAGGGTTTTAGTGTTTGTTTCACCCCCCTCCTCATTGCTCACCGGTCTTTTTATTCATTTATTATTATGGTTATTATTCTCTTAGTGTGTATGTTTATTCCCTTCATTATTGACTGTTCGTTATTATTATTATTATTATTATTGCTGTGGTTGTTGATTGCTTGCTTGTGTGTGTTTGTGTGTTTTCCCTTTATTTACTTATTTTTCTTTTTTTGATTTGTTTTTTTCTTCCCTTCTCCCCACACTCTTTTTTTTTTTTTTGTGTGTGTGTGTGTTGTTGTTGTTGTTGTTGTTGTTGTTCTTCTTCCTCTCAACGGTCGCGGAGGAAATGGTCTGGATTGACGTGTTTCTGGTGAAATGGACCCAGTCGCCATAAGTGGTCGCGGTAAATAATAATAATAATAATAGTGCTAACGTACTCCTTGCCAAATTTTATAATTCTTTTCGCGAAGCGTAAATTTTGAATACCCACCCAACCCAACGCAACTCATCCTGCTCCGCGCGGGCGGTGGGTAAAAGAAGATTTTCACAAATTTTTTTCTTTCTTTTTTCTTTTTCTTATGTTTCCTCCCTATATATAAATATATAAATATACAAATATATAAATATATAACGATCATCGACAATGAGGAGTTGTCTTGGATTCCATATTGAGCACTGAAGTAATATTTGTGTGGCCATAAAGCTAAAAGGACCAAAAGCGCATCACGTTTTTTGTTGTTGTTTTTTTTTTTTCATCTTTCTTGCTGGAGAAAGAAGGGAATATTAATGGCTAACGGTTTTGTTGTTGTATTGTCTTCCGCGGCCTTCAGCATTTTTCTTCTTTTTTTTTTTTTTTCTTTTTTTTTCCCCTTTTTTTTGTTTTGTTTGTGTTTTGTTTTTGTGTGCTGTTGTTTATTTTCCGATTTACGTGTTGGCTACGGCGATTCATGCGGCTGCGTTTGTGGCTTTTTTGTTTGTTTGTTTGTTACTTCCTCTCCCACCGCTCGTGGCGGTCCTGACGGAGATGGGGGAGGGCCATCTTTTTTTTTCTCAGCACTGCACCTTCTTTTTTGTTGTTGTTGTTGTTGACGACGCCTCGCCATCCTTCACGTGCGTGTGGTGCTGCTCTTCACGTTGTTGTTTCATTCGTGAGGTGTTGGCGACCCACGAAGCGCCACGCTTTTTGAACAAAACGTGCAGTTTTTTCTGTTTCTTTCTTTTTTTTTTTTTTTTTTTTCTTAAGAGGCGGAAGGAAAAAAAAAAAAAAAAAAAAAAAAACGAAGATTTATTTATTTATTTGCATTTTTTGTTGTTTTTTTGTTAAACTGTTTGGTACGCGTTGTCCAAGGTTTTTTTTTTTTTTTTTTTTTTTCGTGCCGCCCCGTCCCTTCTCCCACGTAATTGGCCGTGTCGTGACGGTTATTGTCATTATTATTACTACTCTGTTATTATTATTATTATTGTTCTCCTTCGTGTGCACTGTGTTGTGCTGTGTTGGTTTCTTGTTGTTGAGGGGTGGGGGGTGGGGGGGATGTTTGCCCACACATGCGTCTGATGCTTTTTTGTTGTTGTTGTTGTCGTTTTCCCCCGCCATAAAATGAGGCACGCCGTTTTTTTTTTTTTTTTTTTCGCCTCTCTTTTCTTTTTTTTTTTTTTTGCCCCGTGGCGGAAGCAAATAAACAACAACAACAAAAAAAAAAAAAGGAACGCGTTTTGTGGGAGGACGACCTGCAGACGGCAGTACGACGAATTTTAGAGCATCAGGAACGGTGGCATATGTAACTCCATTTCTCTCCTCACAATTATATACCTATCTATATACCTCTATCTATTTCATATATATATATATATATGTGTGTGTGTGTGTGTGCTTGTATATAATTAATTATTTATCATATTTAATTCTGCCGAAATAGGGGCGGGTGGGGGCACGACGACAGTAAAATAAAACAACGACCAGAAAAACAAAAACAAAACAAAACAAAAAACGTTGAGAAAAAAGGAGAATGAGAAAAGAAAAGAAAGAAGAAAAAACAACAACAACAAAAAGGACGGAACAAACAAACAAACAAAAAAATAATAATAAATAAATAATGATGGAAATAAACAAAAAATTTATGCTGCATTGAAGGTGTGATTCATTTTACTATACAAGTAGAGGCTTTGGGATGGAATGCACGAACAGACGGAGCCTGTTGTTATATGATAGCGCGTTTTTTTTTTTTTTTGAATTCCCCCCGCTTCCTTACTGGTTGTTTTTTCGTTTTGTGTCACTAAAGGTAGCGCACTGGAGGGCAGCGAGCGCCGTTCTTTGTTGTTGTTGTTGTTGTTGTTCCTTCATTTTACCCACCCCCCTAACTATCACCCTTCACGCTGAGGGGAGCCCGGTTGTGGTGGCGTATGCCTGTTGAAATTACTTTTTTTTTGTGTGTGGGGGGGTTTATAAGTGTTGGATGAACCTCAACCGCATTTGGAGATGGCGGGCAAATCGGACCCAAATGTGACCTACGCTTGGTGTTTTTTTTTCTTCTTCGATTTCATATGCGGGAATGGGGGCAGGATCGCATCCAGACGTGTATTCTTAAGTTGTTTGTTTGTTTTGGATTTCTTTCTCTTTATTTATTTTTGTTATGTGCGGTTTGATGTGCTTATCGTTTTGCGACGGGGCATTGGGGAGAGTGGGGGGGGGGGGTTGGTTCCCGAGAGGGCCTGCCGTTTGGCTTCCGCACTCCCTTCTTAACAACACAGTGCCGTCCCGTGAGCAAAGAAGGAGTCGAGAAAAGTGAGACAACAAAAGAAGGTTTAAAAGAAAAAGGGAGTTAACTTCACATTTTGTTTGTTTGTTCTTATTTCTGTGGATTTTGTTGTTGTTGTTTTTCTGTTTACGTGGAGTCACTCCCTCCCCATTCCCCCACTTATCTTTGTATTTGGGTTTATGAATTCGATCCTCCTATTTATTTATTCCTTTCTTTTTTTTTTTTTTTTTTTTGGCTTCAGTCTCAAGGTGGGAGGCAGGTGGGGGGTTTGCACACACACACACACGATTTCTTCTTCATCGTTCTTTATGCAGCGCCGCGTGGATGCTGCTTCCCAGTACCGTTTGTTATCGTTTGAACAGAGATGGCAGAGCACAGGGAGGGGGCTTGACAAAGTGACACCCGTCCGTTCGACTGGTTACATAGTGCGTCGTTACGAGACACCTCCAGTGGATGCCAACGGCATTGCTTCATTAGAGTCTACAAAAGAGGGAACAGACGAAGAGGATGAGATCCAAAAACTTCTTAGCAACGCTTTTTCTCTTGCAGCTAGCCATCATTCACACGGCGGCAAAGTCGCTACAGCATTCTCCGCACCGTCTTCCGAGACGCCACCAAATATATCAGCTATTGACAACGCGTATTTGCATGCCATGAACATTGCTTATCGCTTGTACGGGCAACAACCGAATGGGTGATTTGGGGATGTTTTTGCTTGATTTGTGCGATTCCCCTTTACCGATGTGTCCCATAATGACATAAACGATAACTATGCTTGTGGGAAATCCTCTTCTCCTTATCTGGGGGGTGCGATAGCGGTGTATCGGGATATTATGTAACGGTGCAACCCGTTTCAATGCCACCGGCGATGCTGGCACGGCACACCTTTGCGCCATGAGAAATCCCCTCAACAGTATGCAACGCCTGTGTGAAAAATACACCTTCGATGAAAAGGCAATCTCTTCTATACAAATAAGATGAGTGGTATGGGCTAAAGGGGAGAATGTAGGCGACAGCGACTCACTTTGTACCAGAATGTTTTGTTGGTGGGGACTGTGTTATTTTGTTGTTGTTGTTTTTTTCTTGTAAAGATACGCCTGTACAATAATGCCTCAGTCTTTTTTTTTTTTTTCTATTTCCACCTGCAGAGACCGACGGTTGTGCAGATGTGTTTTTTTTTTGTGTGAGTGTGTGTGTCTTCCTGTGTGTCTCCTTTGATCTGCGTTTTGGTTTTCAAGTGCCTTGTTCCCGTCCATGTTTATTGCGTTGCTTCTCGTTTTCCGCCCCTGGCACCGTGTGGGTTAAGTGAAAGGGAAAGGAAGGGAAAGAAAGTCACAAACCGTTGCCACAGCGGTTTTTATCTCCCTTCCCTTCCGCTGCAAAAACAAAAAAAAAAAAAAGAGAAAAGTGGGACAAAACCACAACAAAACCGAAGGGAAAAGGAAAAGACTTGCCTTTTAATTCTTTGTTGTTGTTTTTTCCCTTTTTTTTTGTGTGTGTGTTGTTTTGTTCTTGTTGTTCTTTTATTTTGGTCTGGACGCTTATCGTTTGGGCTGTGGGCGAAGCTACACCCATTTATTTTGCGCCTTTTGTGCTCTCGTTGGTCTCTTCTAGGGGAGAGAGAGAGAAAGAGGAGGAGGGGCGCACTTTGGAAATTGGGCAAGAACCCAAGACCGAATTTTGGGGGCCGTTCTTTGCCCTTTTTGCGGGATTATTCCCTGGGCAAGCGACAAACTTGGAGTCTCTCCTGAGGCGGCCGTACTCGTTTGTTGTGGGGGACAGGCACGGAGGCACGGAATGCGGTGCTGTGGGCGCAGCAACGCGGATGTCGCCATTCTCATCACACTTTATTTGGTCACCTCCTACTCTGTGCATAGCTACTACACATTTCTGTTTCCCCAAACACTGAGTGCGTTGGGATTGGCTTTTCTGCAACCGTTTAGAAGGGTAGCTCGACCAAATTCCTCCTTTCCTCTCCACCTCCACAACTTATTTAACGTGGCAACGAAGGAGTGGATCTTGTTTGGTGTCTCTCTTTTTTTGTTTTTTCTCGCAATCTGGGCTTACTTGGCGGCGGCAGTCACCGATGCTGGTCGTGTGCCCTCGGAGTTTGGACAACATGCTCCTAGGAGCGCTTCATTGGCTTTGAGGGTGTCTGGTGCATTAAACATATGCCCTGTGTGTGGAATGTATAAGCCGCAAAGGACACATCATTGCAGTCGGTGTAGGCGTTGTGTACTGAAATATGACCATCACTGTCCATGGCTTGGCCGCTGTGTAGGATTTTTTAACTACAAGTTGTATCTTCTTGTGGTATTTTACACATTTCTGCTTACGCTGTGGGTGGGTACGTTGCTGTTGTCGGATATGGTTGTCTATATTGTGCGGCACTATCGAGTTGTTGGTTGGAAGATTGTGCATCGAGATGTGGGGCCTTTTCCTATTGGGCCTGACGGGACATGTTGGACGGGACCGCTCATGGTTGGTGGTACCGCTCACTATCAGGTGCATTCTGGGAAGCCATATGGTTCTTTGTTCAATACTTTAGGTGACAGCTTTGGAGCTTGCCCTCCATTCTTGGGTGTCTACATTTGCCTATTGGAGGCGATGATATTTTTTGTTTTGACGGCCTCGCTCCTGCGGAAGCACTGCTGGCTGGCACGGCATAGCCTGACGACGCTTGATCTTGTTATTTATCAGCATCAGCTAGATGAGGGATTATCTAGTGGACGTCAAATAAACATTTTTGACATTGGTGTGAAGGGTTGCTTGCATCAAGTTTTTGGTGATGGCGACGAACGGGGAGAGCATTTGCACCCAAACTTTATTGTGAGGTGGTTCTTTCGCCTGTTGCCGTTTCCCGCATACCCAAAACAGGCGGAGTTGCACTACAGCTCACCTCTTGGTATTGACGACACGGAGAATTTGTTGGGTGAAACCCCTTTTTCTGCGGTATCACACACGACGGTCTCGGTGCCAAGTTACGGAACGCTAAATGAGGCTGCGCCTCCTTATAACATGATCAACAAGAACGACAAAAACGTCTCTACCGACGTGGGTCGTAGGAGCGAATACCGTCACCATCCGTCGCAGTATCCCGGCCAAACGAGGCACCTACTGGGTCTGAGTTTTCCCACTGTCTTGTCGCTTCCCGGATCTGGTGGGATGTGACAATTCGTGTCGGCACCGTTCTTCTCATCGCCCCATTTTTTTTTTTTTTTTGGTGTGCGTGTTGAAGGGATAACAAACCGAAAGAAAGAAACACACAAACACACACACAAAAAAAAAAAAAAAAACGAAGAGCGAATAAACCGAACCCAAACACACATCTGATCACATGACGGGGGAAAAGTGGGCGATGAGAAGCCGACGCCTGATCATAGGAGTTGCGTCGGTTTCTTTTTTTTTTTTTTTTTTTTTTGTATTTTCTTTCTTTTTTTTTTTTTTGCGTATTTCTTCAAAGGGAAAGAGGGAACAAATAAGCGACCCCGTGGCCAGAGAGAACAGAAGCACACCTACACCTACACCTACACCTACACCTACACACACAAACACACAAACAAAAAGAAAGTACAAAACTCTTTGGGGTTGGGAAGGAAAGGCCGTCACTTGGAGGTGAGGCAAAGATGCGCCACCATCCCGGGGAAGGTCTAACGGTTTAGATGATTACCAACTGGTGAATGCTTTGGAATCTTCTCTCTTCCTCTGTCTGGTACGCGTTTGTATATAAATACACAAATAAAAACATTTATATGAGTCCTTTTTCCCCCCCCCCTGTGTGTGTCTTTCTTTTCTTTTTTATTGCCATTCGGGAACACACACGCAGCAAAGGAGTGAGCACCATGCGACGGTCACAAAAAAAAGTTTGGGGCGCTGTGTCTTGCTTTTTTCACGCAACTTCCCAGTGGCTGCGACGTCATCAGTCTGGCGGGAGCGGTGTTTCTAACATCGACGACTTTGCCAAGATTCTTTCGCAGGCTAAAAAAAACTCACCTGACTGCGGGTGTTCTTCGGATTTCTTTAATGGTCGCTTTGCGGGTGGGAGTGCGACGATTGACCCCTCTATGTTGCAGGATATGCATCGTACGCTGAATCAGTCCCTGTCACCGGAAGTGCGGGATTCAATGCGTGCCATGATGGAAGGTCTGAAGCGCGGCGACGGGCTTCCGCAAATGGGAGTGATGGCATTCGGTCTGGGTGAAAATGAGAGGGGGAAGAAGGTCGCCAGAGGCGCCAAGTTAGCCTTCGACCCGAACACGGGGAAAGTGTCAAAGGACTTTGTGGAGAAGCAGTTGGAGGAGGATGACCCGGTGCTGCCCAAGGAGACGGTCGGGGATTACCACACTGAGGGGGCCATCGAGGTGGAGTTCGAGGAGGATGCAAAGCGACACGCATCTGCCGCCGCGGAAACAATATCTGAAGCCGAAGTGGTATTGGAAGAGACGCCTGCAGCTTCAATGGGCAACGGCAACAACGCAAAGAATGAGCGAGTGTAACCATGAAGGAAACAGCGTGGACCGCGGAACGAACAGCCTCAAAATGTTCCCAATGCACCCGTATTTGCCATTGGTGCCACCATGCTTCATGCACATTGCGTCCCAAAAGAATATAACAACGATTCTAGCGGAATTAAGAAAGGGTTGCACTTACACATGCAGAGGCGTATGCTGACTTTACTTTTTGCGGTTCATACGTGTTGTTGTGCTGGTTTAATGGCTTTGACCAACGGTGCCTGTGCGGTCTCGTGGTTGCTGTGATTGCTAGGAGGCAAATTGTGAAAAGGCAAAGGGGGAAATGAGTTACTCTTCACATGTGTGCCGTGCATCCTCAGCCCAGCGATTTATCGTTTATGTTGAATAAATCTGCACCACGTAAAGGAAAAAAAAGAAAAAGGAGTTGTAGTTGTTATTATTATTATTATTAACAGAGGCGTTCTTCTTTTACGGTGGCGTCACTGCGACAAGTTTAAAGTTTTTTTCTTTCTTTTCTTTCTGTTCTTGGTTACTTTTGCTTCCTTGAAAAAGAAATAAAAAAAAGGGAGGGGGTTCATTTATTTATTTATTTGTTGTTGTTGTTTATCACCTTTTTTTTTTCTTTTTGCCTCTGACAATTAGCAAAAAGAGAAGGAAAAACAAAGAAACAAACAAGATTATCAGTGAGCAAGAAGGTAACAGATGAGCCTGTCTTTGTCTCGTATGCTTTTTTCTTTATTGCTGTTTGCCCTGATGGTTGCAACAACTCCTTTTGCCGCGGAGGGTTTACTGCTGGCGTCGTCTTCCATTGAACAGTGCGATCGTGTGGGAACCGACAACTCGCTGCCGTGTGAGAAAAAGTTGGTGGTGACGTTGTCGGTGGACAGTGATCAGGCGGAAGATGTGGAGGAGTTTGTGATTTTGCGCGATGCCGTGGACAAAACGAAAGGAACGGGGGAGGAGCACGTGGAATTTCAACCTATCCGTTTGACGACGAGCAAATCACGCGTGCAATACAGTTACCCTCTCTTTTATGAAAGGAATTTCAATGCCAAGCCCTACGAGGAGGAAATTACAACGGAACTAGTTGGGTGCGATGATACATTTAGTCCGAAAGCAACATGCGGGCTGGCCATGGACACCGCGGGAAGGCCTATCCCGTACAGTCAAGGTTTTTGTTGTCGATGTGGTCCCTGTCAGTTGTTGGGGTTATGTCCCGTGGGTAGCCGCGGTCTTCAGGTATGCGACATATTCAGAGGGGCTGCATTAGCCTCATGTCTCCGTTTTGGAGAGCTTTGGTACAGTGGGTACAGCATGGGTTCGGCTACTATCTGGTATCGCTTGTCGGTAAAACTGACGACTGACTCCCAAAATAACTCCAAGACAAAAGAAGCAGTTTTTGAGCTGGGACCGGATGTGCTTTCAGGGTCTTCAGCGGAGTTTGGGGCTTGGGTCAGTCTAATTGGGGACTTTGTGCCGGCGGAATTACCATTGGTTCTAAGTAATAAAATGCTTTTTATTCCCTCTTCTCCAAGAATACACGAGCGTGTTTTGGCGGGCCAAAAGGAGTGGTTAATTCTGGACAAGCACCATGTGAGCATGCAGGGTCGAGATTGTAACAAGGTTGGGGTATCTTATGAAGCCTTTTCGGGTCAGGGGAGCAGGTGCCAATTAATTCGAGGGTCGTGTCTGGCCGATCAGTTGGAGGACTACCGTTCGAGTGATTTGGCAGTTGAAGCCCGAGGGGGTAGAGGCAAATACCTGGCTCGCTTTTTTGGAGACTTTGTTGTCAACAACGTCAACAACAGCAGAACAAGACTCTCCTACTGGATGCGTGGGTCATTGGCGACGATGTTAACTGTTGTCATATCAGCGGACAGACTGCAATATCTGGTTTCTGTTTCCCCAGGTGAAATTGTCTCTGCGGTGATGTCGAAGTCGACAGTAGAGGAAAGTTCGAGAGATGGATCCGTTTCTGTCATAGTGCGCAATATTGGCCACGTAACTGCGCAATACACGCTTGGTGTGGGGAACTGTTCGGGAAATGTTTTCCCCATTATGGCCCAGACCCTGAGTTTGAGACCACGAGGGACAGTGATACGCAGTTTTGATCTGAATATCCAAGATGTGGCGGAAGAGAGAATTGTGCAATGCGACGTAACTTTACGAGACGCGAAAGGTGCTATCACGGACAAGAAGATTTTGAAGTTTCGAGTAACAAGTAAAGTATTAACGAATGATACACAGGGCGGCAATGCACCAACTGGAGGTGGTGCCAGCGTGGATGGTCAAGCCCCTCCAGCTTGCTCGCGTTGTGAGTGGTACAAGATTTCCTGTTTCCTGATTCATGGCTGTTGGTGGCAGCCACTGGTGTATGTTTTGATTGCCATTGCTATACTGCTGGGTATATATTATTTTTTCGGACTCTCTTCGCGCAGTAGTGAACCCAAATTACACGTGGTTCACTGAGACAATGGCTTACTGGCAGTCTGTAGCTTTCCAAGGCATATTATTCCACGCCGGCGTGGCGAAAATACATCAACATTCAGAAGTATTTTTCCAGTAAATAATACTGAAAAGCAAAATTGAAATGCCATATTTTTTTTTATATATTTGTTCTGCTGGGAAAGAGTGGGATGCTCGCTGTG